TACAAATTTTATGTTCTCAAATGAGAACATAATTTTTAAAAATTGTGTTCTCAAAAATATTTTAATGTTCTTGAGAATACTAAAAACATTAGATATCTAATACTGGGTCTGACTGTAGTTGTTATAGCAGGTTGTATTGGGTTTAACCTGGTGAGTTTTTATTGAGTTAGAGCTACAAGTTGTAAGGATTTAGTACATTTGTATATATAAATTATATAACAGCTCATATGAATAAAGGCAGGATCACTTAAAAAAAAAAAATTAAAAAAGCTATTTTTTACTATTTCCCAGTTGTTTTATTTATGCTAGACTTTGTCAACAGAAAGAGTTTCTTCTTTTTTATCTAAAATATCAAAATTTCATATACAAGTGTACTACCTTCTACTAGTTATTTTGTATAAAGATACTTTTGGCTTGCATATTGAATATGCAAAGAGTCTTCCAAAAAAGAAGAAAAGTTATCCTTTATAAAAACTATCTCATAAGCCTATCTACTAGAAATCTTATCACTTCAGTATAGAAAATAAATATTTCTTTTTATTGAAAATTTTGGTCCAAATAATTATTAAATAGAGTTATATATATATATATATTTATTGATAACCCATACTAAACTTAGTTAAACTTTATCTTGCTTAAGGTCCTGTAACTGAGCTATTTAACATATGAATTAGACATTAGGCTGGCTTTTCCACAGGATACCCAACCTTGGTTATCTCAATGATGTTGGCCACAATACTCCACATATAGCATAGCATAATTCAACTTGACGAAGTGTAAAATTTTCTTTCTTGAAATCATCAGGTTTGCTTGTACAAGCAGTATAACGCATATTTGTGAACTCATTTGAGCTTATGTTATGAAAAATTTATAGTAAATTTGAAGGAACAGGGCAATCTATCATCAAGTTTCCATTTTTTAATTCAATGTACTTTTTTATAAAAGACTCTTCTGTAAGTGGAGATGACTTATTTTCACCCAATACGAATTAGTGTAAATCATAATGGAATCATTAGAAATTCTTCCACTAGGACTTTTATACCAATATTAATAATGAATTAAATCTTTTTAAAATAATATATTAGGGGGTTTCAGAGTTAACTTATTTTGAAAATAAGTGGGAGTTTGAAAAGTCTTATATTTGTTTTAAATTTCGAAATCAGAAAATGAAAAGGAGTTGTCTGAAGATAAATTAAACAACCTTTTTTTAATGATATATATTATATATTATTATATAAATAGGCTTATAAATAAAAATAAATAGGATTTATAGATCTCTGATTACAAAATAAATACGTCGCTAATTTAATTCGAAATCAGAAACCTGAACCTTAAGTCTGAAACCCCCTATTAGATGAATTATCATAGAATTAGGCTTTAAATTTGTACTCACGTTATATCAATTTTAGTAGAAAGGTCATTTATAATAAACTCAATATTTGTTTCTGTTGATAGCTTCTCAAGTTCAGTTAAAATTTCATTCAATGCTGGATGTTGGTCAGGAGAAGAAGACCAGATTTATTGTAAAGGTTAGCATAGTTTAAAGGTGTTTTTCTCGACCATTTTTTCTCTGGTGCCATCTACAATTTTTAGGATAATAGCCGTGCAGCTGAAATTATTAAATGGAGGAATTCCACTTGTAAGTCTCAGAATATTACGCCCAAGCTATAAATGTCAGATTTCTTATTTTTTTTCATTTTTGAGACACAGTGGATCAATATATGCCACCATATCAATAACAACAGAACTTGAAGCGGTAGATCCATTTAATTGTCTTGATATTCCGAAGTCTGCAATTAAGGCTTTACCATCATTTATTAAGATATTCTTAGAATGCTAGAAAACTTTTAAGAGATGATTTAGAGATACCATTTACTATAATTATAATTGTCAACTATCTATAATATTGTATATAGAACTTTCCATTTGATCAAAATATCATGACAAAAACAACTGATATGATGTATAAAATTGCATAATGTAAATTGAAAATTTAATACTTACAAGATCACGATGAATAATGCCATTATTATGCAAATATCCCAATGCAAGAGTTATTTCTGTTGCAATTTTGATAAGTTCAGTCCATGAAATCTTATAATAATTAAATTCTTGCTTTTTTCGTAAATGGTCATGTAGATTTCCACCATTTGCATATTGTAATATCAACATGAAGTCTCCTACTTGTGCACCTAATTTATTTTAAAAGGTTATGGAGTTTATAATTTAGGCATACTCCGGCATGCGATTGTTTTTAAATTTTATATACTTATATAATCATTTGAATTTTTTTACCATGATATTTTTGCATGTGGCTACTTAATCATTTTGCAAAAATATCACAGGAAAACATCACATGGTCATATATAACTGCCGGATAATATCAATTAGAGACGCCGAGAAAACCATGTGATGCTAAATAGTCACAACATAACTAGTAATTTTTTTGTCACATGCAATAAGTATAAGATATAGTGTGCGATTATTTAGTATCACATGGCTTTCTCAGCATCTCCAACATCAATATTGGGCATACGACAAAATAACAATAAATTTTTTTTCATCGTCTGATCAATGTTGTATACATATATATATACCTTTTGAAAATCCATAAAATTTAATGATATTCGACTTTATAATGGTACTTGATCTATATGCATTCAATAAAATTTGTTAATCCTTGGGTATATAATAAACTTCCCCAAATAATTTCGCTGGGCAATAAATTTCAAGATCAGATGTAACGCAAAAGAACGTAAAAAAATCAAACCATCCAAGAAATCGTTCACAGTACAATATTTTGTCTATGAAACTGCCATCTGCGCATTAACAAAAAGTTTTTCGTGGTAATAGAAAGCTTTTTTTAAATAATACACATCATTCTGGTTATATCAACATCTTTTTTATAATGATATTTTTTAAAATTTTCGATCCATATACTCAATGTGAAAACATCTCTGGTTGAACCGACATCTGGATACATAGAACATTTCTTTTTTTTAGAGGCATAATAGCAAAACTTAAGCCTTAATTACGATGAAATTTTTCTAGCGAAATATTTTAAATTGGTGATTCTAGAGTCCTAATGCTATATATTTCCATTAAACTTACGTACCTCACGTTTAATTCGTTTGAAAGTTTCATCATCTATATATATGTTATTCTTCAACCTCTTTATCGCACAGTTTACGCCTTGAGTTCGACAAAATAAACAATTGCAAATCCTCCTTGCCCAATTACTTTGAGGTTATCAAAATTAATTTGGGAACAATCAAATTTAGTTATTTTCAGTTCAGTTAAATATTCTTCTAATTTTCTTAAATATTCAGACGCTAAATCATTGAAATTAATTGAAATTAGTATATTATCAAATTAAGATTTTATGATATAACTACCAACATGTATTCTCTGACATTTGCTCGCCTCTATTATTTTCTTTACTGTTATGATTTAAATTATTGTCTGTCGCCATTGTATTTTAAATTTCAAAATTGAAAAGGATTATTAGGAATGGCAGGGTCAGCTTTAATCCTCTCATGAAATTCTCAGAATGTATTTATATAAGACTTAATAAGATTAAAATAGGAAATTTATTTGATTCTAATAATAATTTACAATCTTAGTTTGTGAAATTGTGCATGAAAAAGTGTACGCGCATGTTCATAATAGGTCTTCAGTCTTTCATATGAATTAATTTACCCTCTCTAAGCTTTTTCATCAGCATGCTTATGATTAGCGGTAGTATCTTATTTATTGGTTGCGATCTTACTCGTGATCAGCCACATTTCCTTCTATACTAAAACGAAAAAAATTTTCGGCAAAAAATTTTATATTAGCTTATGTGCGCTATATGAATTATGCGCGCGCGGATTATCAGAACGCTCTGAGCATGCCTCCAAAATTTTTTATCATAAGTTCGGCAATTTTTGAATCCATAATAAGATGTATGCATTTGTGTGAAAACTTTATTTGAAATTATGTACGTACGTACGTTGTGACGGGCTTGAAAACTATTTTTATGTATATAGTAGGTCGGTTATATATATTTAGCCGGAAGATTGACATATACGTAATCGATGCTGAGGTGGCTCGGATAGAATGCTGCCAAAAATAGAATAGTTACTGTCGCGTAGTTTATGAACAGCCCCTATACCTGGTGAAAGGTGTGCAAATTGATACTGAATTAATTAGTGAATCAGGAAGTAAGAAGGGTCAACGAAAGTATGAATCGATCGATTCACGTGACCACGTGATCGATCGGAGTCGAGGTATGAATTAAGATGTTGGCGGC